ACTACAGAAGGAGAGTTGGATCCTCCATTTCTGTTAGCTATAAGATCAGAATACAAGCATATCTACAAGAAGTCATGGTTTAAACAGGAAAAAATCCTTTAAACAATGCAAACAACATATATTAATAGAACATGAAAAATATACAAGATAGCCAAAGTAATTTTCATTACTACCTTGTTTACATTTTCACTAATAATAATAAGAGTAGTAATGGCATGTAGTAAACATTTAAAGAAATATTAAGTCCACAGAGACGAAACTGTAAAAGGGATTTGCCACTCACAAAAGCACTACAGTCGAGTGGAAATTGGCACTACAAGTCGAGCTTTTCAGAACTACCCTACTTGTGTACATTGCATATGCAGCTACACTGTGACCTCTCTACAGTACAGCCTATGGTTTAGAAATTCAAACCATGCGTGTAAAACGTGCAATTAAATCATTATGGTCGGAAATACGTATATACAAAACAGAGAAACACACAATCAACAATCAGTTCGTGTCTGTAAAAAGTCATATGATTTTCATTTGTTGTTCTTCGCAGAAGAGAGAAAATAATTTTCATCGTTTAGAAGGAAAACACGTATGGTAACCTGTACACAATACCTACCTTTCGCGCACAATATACAGAACAGAGAGAGAGGTACAATCTTTAGTACATGAGTGTGTTAGTGGTAGTTTTCTGTTAGTGACTCTATCCTATGGATCTAAGTACTCCCTTCACCAGATCGTACAGTGGGTGTTGTGGTTGTGGTGGTTGTGGTGGTGGGTGCTGACATATCTCCTTCTGTTTCACTGTCCTTTTAAGAAAATGTTTCCATTCATTAGTGCACGGTTGGGGTCAGGTCCTTCAAAGAGGCTAAGAGAGAGTGAGGAAGTGGAAATCCCAAAACCCATCAGAAAAGGTAAAAAAAGGGAAAGTCTTCTATAACATACTTCTTACTCTGTATTGTGACTCACCTGTAAAACTTATGATATACATACATGCAATCTATAACACGAAATAATTACGAACATATCAATTCAAGTGATTGAATTTTAAAGATATCAGAATGAAAAAAAAGAAATGTAATTGTTGAATATAATTTTTTCCTTATCTCTTTTAATAGATCTTAAACGTCATATTTGCAGATCTATTTGTGATATGATACAAGCTGCTGACTCGTTGAAAACAAAACCCCCATCTTCGTTCTACAGTATAACACTTAATCAGTGTAGTGAAGATTCTTAGGACCACAAATGATAAAAAAAAAGTATCATCTATTCATCTTGCATTGTAAAGAGAAGTAGGATCCTCAAAAAGTAGAAAAAAATACATATATATATATATATATATATATATATATATATATATATATATATATATATATATATATATATATATATATATATATATATATATATATATATATATATATCCTCCGAGCTGTGACTTACACCTCAATAAAACAAATTAATTTTTGCCTAAACCCTACTCGCAAACAAACAAAAAAGTACACTAATTCACGATAATGTATCTAAATACTTTATCAGATTACAGGGATTAGACAATATCAAAACCCGATTATATATATCGATGAAAACTATTACAAACGCAACACGAAATTCCTTTAGCCTCGTGTAAAAAAGTACTGTAGGAGAAATAAGCATATAATTTATTTCATAACCATCACCAGAAAGGGTACTTTGATAGCACAGCAGGTTGAGAAAATAACATATCTTTTATTTTTAAAAAATCTGTATCTTCATCTACAGTATACTATACAGTACAGGAATTTGTTTCAATATACCATAGCATACCTTAATGCCTATAAACTAATTACCATCTTGGTAAATAAAAAGGAGAGAGAGATTACTAAGCATCATACAGTATGTGCATATATACTTAGATAAGAAAAAAACATACATACATACACACACACACGACACACACACACACACACACACACACACACACACATATATATATTATATTTTATATTATATATTATATATATGCACACGCACACACACGCGCACAACGCACGCACACACAACACCACACACACACACACACACACACAACACACACAAACACACACACACACACACACACACACACACACACACACACACACACACACACACACACCACACACACACACACACACACACACACACACACACACACACATATGATACATATATATCATACATATATATATATATAATATATATATATATATATATATATATATATATATATATAATATATATATATCATATATACCATATATATACATACAAAACAATACTAAATATTCCCAACCACGACATCTACTCCCCATCTCCTTCTCCTGGAAGCCACAGAAACCCTTCCCGCTCCCTACCTGCCCCACGAAGGTCGACAGCATGAGGAGAGCGTCGGACTCCATGGTCTGGAAAGTGAAGCCGAAGTTGGACTCGCGCTTCAGGACGTGAGAAGGAAGCTCCACGAAGCCCTGTCCCAGGAAGCCGACCTCGTTCAAAGGCTGCAAGAAAAAACGAGTTTGATTAAATAATGAACGGAATTCGGAGAGTAAATACACAAACGAAAGCGAGTTTAATCAAATAGATATAAATACATGAATAAATCCACAAAGCGAATTAGGTAGATATGTAATCACATAGAGATTAACATATTATCATTATGATAGTATCAAGTAATTGAAATATCATTATATATATATATATATATTATTCATTATACCCATTAATAATAAATAAATAATAATATTATATTCAAGAAATTTTTTCCCCTCTCCTTCTATAATAACTATCATTAACATAAAAAATACAAAAAATATACTATAATCTATACTGATTCATCTTACCACTATCCCAAACACAATAGTATTTCTTTTTAATAAAAAAAATCTCACTTACCTTCTCCGCACAAGTGTTTTCAATGCCGTAGAACTGCCCATCTGTCAGGGGATTCTTGCCCTCGTCCAAGACACTGAGCCGACCCATGCAGCCAAGGAGAGAACGCAGGACTAACTCGCTGCCCCATCTGAAGAATAAAGAACACCAGTTATTTACGAACGCATGTCAGTATTCCATCCTGAAAAATGTGGTACTTTTAAGCGAGATGAATCTTCGGCATATCAGGTGAGGCTGTGGACCGAGTATCGCTGTTTCTTCAGAGTGTAGCCTCCTCAGTGTCTCTCAGTGTCGGCCTTTTGTCAAGTGCGGCTCTTGGTAAAATTCCAGAATCGAAACACACTCCTGGTATAGTTTTAACTGGATAGGAGAATGGCAAATCGAAATGGAAATTGAAGAGAACCTTTAATAATTACCAAGGTGCGTCACTAACTCAGATGATGGTATGTGGATTGCGTACTGTCCACTGGGAGATAGAATTGGTCATTTATTTTATGCCAGTGAAATGACATTAGAGAAGCATGAATGCTGGAATATCCATATTGCCAGGTTAGTTTTTTGTGTATGAAGGAAATTTTACAGTAATTTAGAGATAATTGTATTGATAATTACAGAAGTTGACTAAAGAGATCTTCAACTGTCACGTCAAAATAATAAAATAATCAAATAAAATAAATACTATTCGCAAGGATAACATCAACAAATGATCTCAGAATAAAAAATCGACCACAAACCACAGAAAACCACAATAATACACAGCTCTCTCTCTCTAAAAAAAAAGAAAAAAAATATCCCCACAGCATCCCCCCCCCCCCGTCCCCCCAACCTCACCTATTCCTGTCGAACTCGGGGTCGACGCCTCCGAAGTAGTAGGGCACGTAGGAGAGGTCAAGGTCAGGTCCTCCCTTGACGGTGCCCAGCTGGTCCTGGTCGCCCACCACCAGTCGGCCCATGCGAGCTCCTCCTGAGGGAAGGAAGGGACAGATGCAGGTTTGGTCGCGTCTTGAAATTATCTTTTTTCTTCCTCCTATTAATCCTCATCTACATCATTATTTTCCTGTTATTAATTATTATCTGGTGATTCTGGATTGGCTGTTCTTTGTGTTGTTATCGGTTCCCATCTTTTTTCTATTGTAGCTGTTATTAATGGCTAAATATTTGTTATTGGCGGGAGATATTGCTTTGATTAGTTTAAGTTATGTTTTAACTTGATTATTCTCTGTAAGGTTTAATTACTGGATTCTGTTTGAATTATGCTCTTTAGCGTTAATATCAACTAGGATTTATGATTATCCTAATTATCATTTATTCGTTACTGGCATTTCCCCCCAAAGTCTTGTTGTAATCTCTCAACATCAAAATTTTCCATGACACGTTTAAAATCTCCATTACAATAAACCTATCATAAATCCGTAACAAAATACTATAAAACCAAAAACAACACACTATAACCCCCCCCCAAAAAAAAAAAAAAAAAAAAAAAAAAAAAAATATATATATATATATATATATATATATATAATATATATATATATATATATATATATATATATATATATATATATATATATATACATACATATATATATACAAATCACCCTATCTAACCCCCCCTTAAAGGAACCCCCCCCCCCGACGCTCACCCATGGCCTTGTTCTGGACGATCGCCTGAATCTGGATCATCTCGTTGTTGTTGTGCTTCTTGCCTGACTTCATGATGAGGCGCGTCTGGCGGTCGAACTGCACCGTGAACACCACGTGGCCGTCGTCCAGGGAGATGCTGAAGTACTGGTTCTGAAGCAGGAGGTGAAGGAGGAGGTGAAGGAGAGGTGAAGGAGGAGGTGAAGGAGGGGGTGAAATAATGGGAAATGTAGATCGGGAGAGGTTGTTGAAAGGGAGAGCGACAGGGAAGATATATGCAGTGATATATGCAGTACATGTATCTGTCTGTCTACTTATTCATCAATCAATCTATTAATCTATCTATCTATCATTTTATCTATCTATCCATCTCTATCTGTCTATCCATCCACCCATCCATAATCTACTACCAACCTATCTATCTATAAACCAATCAATCCATCAAATCTATCACTCCATCCATCTATCCATCCACTAACCCATCGATCTATCCATCTATCCACCTATCTTTGCATCCACCTACCTCCTCACCACCCACACCCCCGCCTCCCCCCCCACCCCCACCCCACCCCCACCTTACCTTGGCCTCGTTGACCGCCAGGAAGAGCAGCGCGTCCTCGTCGAGCGTCTTGAAGGCGAGGACCGTCGAGTAGTACTGCTTGGGTCGCCGGATCCTGTTGGTGCCCTTGAAGTAGCCCTTCCCGTTGAAGCCGACGGCGATCTCGTTCGTCTGCTTCAGGACCAGCTTCTCTCTGGAGCGCGAAGGAGGAGGGGGAAGTAGGTAAGAAGGGGGAAATAGGTAAGAGGGGGGGAGGTGTATGAAGAAGAAGGGGGAGAGGTGTATGAAGAAGAAGGGGGAGAGGTGTATGAAGAAGAAGAGGGGGGAGGGATTTTGCATGAAAAAAAAGGTAAAAAAAAAATGTAAGGAGGGGAAAATGTGTATGAAAACGAAGGGGGGGATGGCTGAAATTTGTACGAAAAAGGAAGGTAAAAGAATGTAATAAGGGGAAATATATGTAAGGAGAAGGGAGGGATGAGTATGGAGACCAGGGGAAAATTGAATGCAAAAGGAGGTCTAAAAATATGAATATGTGTGAGGAAGGGAAATAAATTATGGTGTTTGAATAGGGAAAACAGGGTTCTGGTTCGGCTTTATTCTTTCTCTAAACCTTGGGCGTTTTAATGTGGGAAAAGGAGGAATCTAACATGTTCCCTAACAGCCATATATTTCTCAAAAAAAGAAAAAAAGAAAAAAAGGCCGAGGGAAACAACGCATATTCAGTGAAAGGAAGGCAAACCATCTTCCTTTCGACCGGAGAGCCCCGGACGCCACCCACCCTTCGTTGCAAGCGCCGCAGCCTTCCGATTCGGTGAAGTTCCAGAGCCCGATGTTCTCCCCGTCGATGAAGACCGTGTGGAGGCAGCCGGCGAACTTCTTGGCCTTCATGACATTCTGTGCCCGCGGGGGAGCTCCGCCTGGAAGGGGGAGGGAGTGGGGGTTGGATATGATGATGCAACAAATATTAAACGAAAAAATATATTAATTTCTGTATCTTTATTATTTCGTACTTAAGAAATGGAAAATTCAGTTTTGTGTTTTTCCTTGTGTACCTTTTTATTCTACATGCAATAAATCATAAAAATGTCCATTTCTAAAAATATCCTCCCACCAAGTTCAGAGTACACTGAAAGTTGGCATTTCCTCTCAGAAAAAAACATTCCAATTAAAACTCAATTAAAATGAAAATATAAAACTCAGTCTATCCCCATCGAAAAAAATCAACACAAAGGACTCGTCTCCCTCACCAATCCACAGGGTGTCCGTCGGCAGGAGGTCCATCTTGCTAAACCCGGCAGGCGAGGCACCGCTGACGGGGGTCGAGTCCGCCTCTTCTCCCGGAGGCAGGTTCGCGGGCAGGACGGTCAGCTGACCTATGTTTCCGATCCTGCTGATGCTGATGTGGTACCTGCAAATGAGGGGAAAACAGTCAGGTGTTGTTTCGGATTCAAATCAGGAGTGAAAATCGTGTGTGTATTATTCGATGGACTCGGTAAGACTATAATCACCCAACCTACCAAAATTATGAGAGAAATATATCTACTATAAATACCCTTATAACTTACAACCGTATGGAAACGGATTATCAGCTCTGAGGAACTAATAATCATGGAAAAAAACATAAACACCATTGAATGAAAACTACCATACCCTTAACCCTCCCTCTACCATACCTTACGTGCAACCTATCACCCAAAAGCTCTCAATCTCAGCCCTCTGTACCATTTGGTGTCGTCGGTGACTTGCTGGTCGTTGGTCAAGAGCCTCAGGGGGTGAACGATGCGCTTGGTTCCTCCTCCAGCGTCCCAAATGAACTCGATCTTGCGGTTGAACATCTCCACGGCCATGAAGTCGCTCTGCAGGAAGTGGGAGAGAAGTCCTGCCATTATAATGTTGTTTTAAATTATGTTTTATGTTATTTTGGGGTTGAATGTAGGTGGTTGCAATGGATGCAAGTGTTTGGGGAAGGAGTTGCGTGGCGAATTCTTTTTAGCGTGTTGGTTTTAATTTCCTTTTATATGCTGTTATTTTGAGTGTATATACTCTACATAAGCACGCACGCACGCACGCACACATCGTACGTGCACACACACACATACACACGCACAAGCAAACACAAAACACACACACAAGCAAACACAAACACACAAGCAAACACAAAACCCACACACACAACACAGCCTGGACACGTGAAATTGGGCGAGGATATGCCTGGAGAGAGAGAAATAAGAAACGTTTGAAATTGGGCGAGGATATGCCTGGAGAGAGAAAAATAAGAAACGTTGGAAATTGGGCGAGGATATGCCTGGAGAGAGAAAAATAAGAAATGTTGGAAATTGGGCGAGGATATGCCTGGAGGGAAGAAAAATACGTTAGAAATTGGGCGAGGATATGCCTGGAGAGAGAAAAATAAGAAATGTTGGAAATTGGGCGAGGATATGCCTGGAGAGAGAAAAATAAGAAACGTTGGAAATTGGGCGAGGATATGCCTGGAGAGAGAGAAATAAGAAACGTTTGAAATTGGGCGAGGATATGCCTGGAGAGAGAGAAATAAGAAACGTTTGAAATTGGGCGAGGATATGCCTGGAGAGAAGATGAAAAAAAACGTAAAAAATAGGTATGTCTGGTTTGAGAAGAAAAAAAAAGAAACGTTAAAAAATGGGTATGTAAGAAGAAGAAAAAATAAATAAAATATGGTATTTATGGATCTGATAAGAAATAAAAGGAAAAGGATTAGAAAATGGATTACAAAAATGCTATTATCACTGCTGTCACTACTACTACTACTATTTATACTACTACTACTACTACTACTAATGATAATGATAATAATAATAATAACACTAACTATAGAAAAATACCACCATCCCCCCCCCCCCCCGCCCCCCAAACGCCCCCCCAAAACCCTCACCGGACGTGATCTGCGAATCCAAGATGGCGTTGAGCGCAATCAGCCGCTCGTCCGTCTTAACGAGGTCGCTGCTCGTCCCCTTCAGCGCCTCCTTCTGGTTCTCCAAGTCGACCGCCTGCTGCCCCACCGTCGCCCGCAGGCCCTCGCCCTTGGTCCGTAGGCCTCCGGACTTGTCGAAGGACAGGGAGGCTCGTCGCACCAGGGAGTTCTCGGGGTCGCCGGGGTAGGCCTACGGAGCGCCCGGGAGAGAAACGGATTTGTGATCAGATTTGCGGCGGAATCTGGGACGGCGGACTGGAACGATAGATAGAAGAGGGAGAAACGATAGGATAGAAGAGAAACGATAGATAGAGAGGTAGAAGAGGATAGAAGAACGATAGATAGAAGAGGTAGAAACGATAGGATAGAACGATAGATAGAAGAGGTAGAACGATAGATAGAAGAGGTAGAAAAGACGATGGATAGAAGAGGTAGAACGATAGATAGAAGAGGTAGAAACGATAGATAGAATAGATAGAGAGGTAGAAACGATGGATACGATGGATAGAAGATAGTAGATAGACGATAGAAGAGGTAGAAACGATAGATAGAAGAGGTAGAAACGATAGATAGAAGATAGAAACGATATAGAAACGATAGATAGATAGAAACGATAGATAGAAGTAGAAACGATAGATAGAAGAGGTAGAAACGATAGATAGAAGAGGGAGAAACGATAGATAGATAGTAGATAGATAGATAGAAGAGGTAGAAGAGGATAGAAACGAGGATAGAAGAGGTAGACGGTAGATAGAAGAGGTAGAAACGATAGATAGAAGAGGTAGAAACGATAGATAGAAGAGTTAGAAGAGGGAGAAACGATAGATAGAAGAGGGAAACGATAGAAGAGAGAAACGATAGATAGAAGAGGTAGAAACGATAGATAGAAGAGGGAGAAACGATAGATAGAAAGAGGTAGGATAGACGATAGATAGAAGAGGGAAAGAAACGATAGATAGAAGAGGTAGAAACGATAGATAGAAGAGGGAGAAACGATAGATAGAAGAGGTAGAAACGATAGATAGAAGAGGTAGAAACGATAGATAGAAGAGGGAGAAACGATAGATAGAAGAGGGAGAAACGATAGATAGAAGAGGTAGAAACGATAGATAGAAGAGGGAGAAACGATAGATAGAAGAGTAGATAGAAGATAGATAGAAGAGGTAGAAACGATAGATAGAAGAGGTAGAAACGATAGATAGAAGAGGTAGAAACGATAGATAGAAGAGGTAGAAACGATAGATAGAAGATTAGATAGACGATAGATAGAAGAGGTAGCGATAGATAGAAGAGGTAGAAACGATAGATAGAAGAAGAGTATAGAACGATAGATAGAAGAGTAGATAGAACGATAGATAGAAGAGGTAGAAACGATAGATAGAAGAGGTAGAAACGATAGATAGAAGAGGTAGAAACGATAGATAGAAGAGGGAGAAACGATAGATAGAAGAGGTAGAAACGATAGAAGAAAGAGTAGAAACGATAGATAGAAGAGGTAGAAACGATAGATAGAGAAGATAGAAACGATAGATAGAAGAGGTAGAAACGATAGATAGAAGAGTAGAAACGATAGATAGAAGAAAGAAACGATAGATAGAAGAGGTAGAAAACGATAGATAGAAAGAGGGAGAAACGATAGATAGAAGAGGTAGATAGACGATAGATAGAAGAGGTAGAAACGATAGATAGAAACGATAGGTAGAAACGATAGATAGAAGAGGTAGAAACGATAGACGATAGATAGTAGAAACGATAGATAGAAGAGGTAGAAACGATAGATAGAAGAGGTAGAAGACGATAGGAAGAGGTAGAAACGATAGATAGAAGAGGTAGAAACGATAGATAGAAGAAGAAACGATAGATAGAAGATAGAAACGATAGATAGAGTAGAAACGATAGATAGATAGAAACGATAGATAGAAGAGGTAGAAACGATAGATAGAAGAGGTAGAAACGATAGATAGAAGAGGTAGAAACGATAGATAGAAGAAGAAACGATAGATAGAAGAGGTAGAAACGATAGATAGAAGAGTAGACGATAGATAGAAGAGAGAAACGATAGATAAGAGGTAGAAACGATAGATAGAAGAGTAGAGATAGATAGTAGAAACGATAGATAGAAGAGGTAGAAACGATAGATAGAAGAGTAGAAACGATAGACAGACCGATAGATAGCGAAGATAGAAACGATAGATAGAAGACGATAGATAGAAGAGGTAGAAACGATAGATAGAAGAGGTAGAAACGATCTCGATAGATAGAAGAGGTAGAAACGATAGATAGAGAGGTAGAAACGATAGATAGAAGATAGATATAGAAGAGGTAGACATGATAGATAGAAGAGGTAGAAACGATAGATAGAATAGATACGTAGGAGGGGTAGAGAGATTGTCGGGGTTGGCGTGGAATTTGTGACGTTCGAGAGATGGTGGCGGAAAACCCGGAAGAGCAGACCATAAGTGATCAATCTCCAGGCCTTGGAAGCTGAGCGAGAGACAAAGAATGTGTGTGTGTGTGTGTGTGTGTGTGTGTGTGTGTGTGTGTGAGTGTGTGAAAGAAAGGGAGGGAGAGAGAGAGAGAGAGAGAAGAGAGAGAGGAGAGAGAGAGAGAGAGAGAGAGAGAGAGAGAGAGAGAGAGAGAGAGAGAGAGAGAGAGAGAGAGAGAGAGAGAGAGAGAGAGAGAGAGAGAGAGAGAGAGAGAGAGAGAGAGAGAGAGAGAGAGAGACAGACAGAGACAGACAGAGACAGACAGAGACAGACAAAGAGACAGACAGAGACAGACAGACAGACAGACAGACAAACAGACAAACAGACAGATCGAAAACCCCCCAAAAAACCTAACCCAGAGCAAACCGTCAAAGTCTCGTACCACCGTGTAGGCTGTCTCGGCGGCGTGCGAGGCGTTCCTGGCAGCCTCCCGCGCGCTGAGGAGGGCGTCCACGATCCTCTGGTAGGCCTGAGCCGCTCTGAGGGGGCCGTCGGCGACATCGCGCGTCTTGTTGAATAAGCTGCGGAGGAAATGAACGGTAATTAGAAATGTTTTTATCAGGATGGAAATATTGTGATAAATTCGGCCGTTAAAATTTTCAGTATTTTTTTTTTTTCTGTAGGCTTGAACATCGCGAGATTCGGTGAAACTGAATGACAAGGAGGAGACAATATAAATTAAACTATAGATATCAATATCAAACTAGATAGACTCCGAGAGGTAAGGTCACTAATATAAATAAAAAAATATCCACACTTGTACAATTAAATAAAAAAAAGAAAAAAATAGATAATCTTAGCGCCCAATAGTTTAAATTGTCCGTGACTCGCAATGCTAATGAATCCTTTTTTAAAAATCCTGGATCCAAATCAAGATCCCGATCGCCACCAAAATTAAATTGATTCTTAGTTGGGCGAAGACGAACCTCTGGTAAAACTTTCATAAATCTTCGTATCTGTTCATAACTTTTTGAGTTATCCTGCTAACCAACGAACAAACAGACTAACAAACTAACCAACGCTACCAAAAACACATAATCCCTGACGGAGGAAAAAATAAACAGAACTAGCTACGAAATACATCAATAACCATAAGAGAGGAAACCCAAATCAATCAAAATTCGTCAAATTGTATTGCCTTACTGATTTTTCTCTCTTTCTTTCTTTCTTTTTCAATATTTTCTTGACCCAGATGACTTCCAACGAAAGAAAAAAATCAAAATTCGTCAAATTGTATTACCCAACTGTTTTTCTTTCTTTCTTTCTTTCTTTTTCATTTTTTTCTTGACTCAAATGACTTCCAACCAGAAAAAAATGAAAATCACAACAACAACAACTACAATGCACTCTCCTCCTCACCTCTGCAGCCTTATCGCGTCCCTCATGAGCTCCATGGCGTGGTCATGAGCTCTCTTCACGTACGTCTCCCTGTACTCGTTATTAAGCTTCCTGAGCATGACGTGGAAGTCCTCCAGGAAGTTCGAGCTGTTCCTCAGGTCGACCAGCATCCGTATCAAGTCCTGAAGGAAGAGAAAAGGCGAGGTTGGTGGAGGATGAAATTCAGAAAGGAAGGAAGGAGAGAAGGAAGGAAGGGTGAGAAAATATGATAAGGAGTGATAATTGCTTAAAGGTCATGGGATCAGAGTGAAGACTAACAATATCAATAAACAGCTAACCATGACAGTAATGATAATAATGATAACGATAACGACAGACAATCATAATGATGATAATAACAATAAAAATAACAATGACAATGATAATGAATGATAATGACTAATGATAATAAGAACAACAATAGTAATAATAAAACTATGATATATGATATAATATCATCATGGCAACCACCACCAACAAAGACAACAACAACAGAAATAACAAATAAACAAAAACAGGCTCAGTCGCTCACGTCATAATTCGCGATGGAGAGCTTGAGGTTCTCTTCGGCGCCCTTCGTCAGCCTCGTAGCGTTGAAGTTCTGTCTCTGGAGCATCTGTTCTCTGTTCTTGATCTCCAGGGAAAAGTTCTTCACTCTGTTCAGCCGTTCTCTGTTGTCCAGGTTGAGGATCGCTGCCTGGAAGGACATTGAAGTGATTAGAAATATCTGATAAATACAATTTGTTTTTACTCTGATTGCACGCCTGCCCGCACATCCTGTCCGCACGCACGCACATAAATACATACGCACATACACATACACAAACTGTAACAATGAAGTCAAACAAACACACGAAGACGCACTGAAAGTGTTATCCTGATTAACTCTATAGTCTATCCTCAAAAATAACCACACAATCTTTCCGTTTTCTATGATACTGAATCCCAATACAATATCACAGAAAACGAATTATTGGAGAACTTCTATAAGGATTTTCCTTTTATTTCTCCTTTTTACATCACATTTTTTCCATATTAACTGTAAATATATTACTTGTATTTAAAGAATTTTATGTTATCAAATAAAGAGGGAAGTTTTAGGTCACAAATATATACCCTACATAAACTCCTGTTTTGATTATCACCCATTTTATCACCATTATTTCTTACCTCGTCGACTTTTCCGGTCGAAGTTTTGACTCTGTCTCGGAGTTCGTTCAGTTTGTCTCTGATCTCGCTGACCAAGTCCTTGAGCGCCCCAAGAACCGGCATTTTCTGGACCATTTTCATGACGCGATCCAGAAGCCTCCGGGATTTGCTGCGAAGAGAATGAGTTGGTGAAGCAACATTTAGGGTAAAAAGGGGGTTGGAATTGACTAGAATACTTAACTGGAAGTTTCATTAATTCTTAGACACTTCAATACAAAAATTAAACCTCAAAAGAGCAAAACTGAAGTCTATGAGTACAATATTTAGACCTTCCTCATCTAAAATTGTAGTTCAGAAGAACGAAGAAAAAATAATTTACAAGCCTAGGTTAAAATACCCTCAAGAAATTCAAGAAACCAATCACACCATTAAAAAAGGTACCAGGACAGGACCAAAATACCACAAACTACCACACAACCCCCACGATACCTCAGCTCGACTTCGGCGTCCTCATCGAACTGGGTGAAGTTCCTCATCTGGATCTCCTTCAGGATCTTCTCGGCCTCCATCAGCGCCCCGCCCACCGAGATGCTGGGCGTCTCCCCGATGGCGTAGTTCTTCAGGTACGCGATCGTCTCTGTGCAGGTGGAGGTGTGGAGGTCAAATGAGGGTCTTGAGGAGGAGGAGGAAACGTACTCGAAGATAAACAGACAGAGAGAAATGTGACGACTGCTTATACTCGAAGGCTAGGCATTGTGGAGTGGAAGAGGGATTGTAGGAATGTAAGACAACCTGGTGGCACTATTATACCTGAAGTTATATGATTTATTATAATGGGGGGGATGCAATGAGTGATTGGTGGCTTTCTTAAGAGTCGAGTTTAGACCAACCATTACAAAGAGGAAAGTGGCATATACGGTAATGTAATGAGAGATTGGTGTGTAAGTAACCTACTGCCTGGCCAATCATTACAATGAGAGGGGAACTGTAGTTAAATATTCTGTTAATCTGTAACATAAAATGCTAACATATCTGCCATAACCGAAGTTGTCTGTGGAAGAAATAAACTATATATCGTAATCAGTACAACATATTTAGTGCCACGGAAATAGGGAAAACTGAAAGCAAATTATTAAGACTGTTTCATCGCACTTTCACACACCACTGATAGCAATACACGACACGAAAGCACACTTACAGAAAAGAAAGAATAAAAAAACATACAAATAACCACTCTCAGACGTATCTCTTCTACCTGTGGCCCTTCGCAAGTCCAACTAACCTTCGAGTTGGTCGTGGACATTCCTCAGCAAGTCCAACACGAACTGGGCATCGGATTTTATCTTTGCTGTGGGCGGGTACGTCTCCCTGGCTGAGATCTCCAGTGCCTCGGCCTGCGGAGGGGAGAACGAGGGGAGAAAAAAATGGATGACGTTGACTTTATACTTTTCACTACAGGATCAAATCAGTACTAGATAATGTAACGCATTGATGTTAAAAAATAATTAAACGATATTGTAAACAACTTCGTAATAATGAAACAAGTAAAAACAAGTGTGAGAAGAAGATAAAAAAAAAGTAAAAGAAAACATGAAAAGGTACAAGGAAATAAGTAAAGGCGAAGAAGAAGAGGGAAAAAAACGTCAGAATAAAAATAAATACAAGAAAACAAAAGGAACACGAGCCCCAGTGCCTCACCCTCCGCAGCTGGTCCCTGGCATAGTAGTCCAGGTCGAAGTTGATCACCATCTCCTGGGAGCCGTCCACGTTGCTGTGGTAGCGCGTGAGTTGCGTGCGGAGGAGTTTGGTCACGTTTTGAATCTGGAACAGGAGAGTATGCTGTCAATTCTGAAACCTTATTATCAAAATTAGACGCACGCATGCACGCCCACTTACATACATACATATAAACGCGCACGAACACGAACACACATAACACACACACACACACACACACACACACACACAACACACACACACACACACACACACACACACACACACACACACACACACACACACACACACACACACACACACACACACACACACACACACACACACACACACGCACGCACGCACGCACACACACACACACACACACACACACACACACACACACACACACACACACACACACACACACACGCACCACACGCACACACACACACACACACACACACACACACACACACACACACACACACACACACACACACACACACACACACACACATACACACACACACACACACACACACACACACACACATGGATGAAAATAAACAAATACATTATTCAAATAAACTGAATAATCAACAATAAATAAAAATGTAAAACCAAATAAACAAACACAATTTCCAACCATCCACACTACATGACACTATCTGAAAAAAAAACTGAACAGAGCATTAAACCAACAGAATCGTCAACACTGCAGCCCCTTACCTGTCTAATGGAGGGCCAGGGGGCGGGGATATAGCCATCGACGTCAATGGAAGTCACAGACGAGATCATGTCTTCCACTTCGTCCAGTAGGATGTTCACGCAGCCGTCTTCGCAGGCTGTAACAGAGGGCAGAGGTCAGACAAAGCAGAAAGTCGTTTGTAGTTACAAAATGTCATAAATCGCAGCAATAACAACGAAAACAAACAATGAAAAAACAAACAACGACGAAAACAACAAATAACAACAATGAAAACAACAAGCAACAACGACGAAAACAACAAACAACGACAACACTCACATATGCAGCCCGCCTCCGAAGTCACGTGACGAGGCGCGCACTGCGAGCAATCCCTGCCGGTGATGCCAGGTTTGCACGTGCAGCGGCCGTCAGCATCGCAACCCTCGTGCACGCTGCCGAAGGGATCGCAATTGCAAGGCTGGCAAGAACCGCCAGGCTCCGCAGGCCGTCCGTAGTAGCCGAAGTCACACCTGCAGGAGGAAGAAAACGGGATTTATGAATGAACGAGTGGCTTTGTTAGTGTAGTAGATTTTATGAATGAAAGGTGGGTTTTGTGAATGAAAGATATGTTTTGAATGAAAGGCTGGTTTTATGAATGAACGAGAAGAATGAATTTATGAATGAATTGAAGGTTTATGAATGTATGGCAAGTTTTGTGAATGAATGACAGGTGCTAAGAATCATAGGCAAGTTTAGTTAATGAATGATAGGTTTTATGAATGATAGTTCTGTGAATGAATGATAAGTTTTGAATGAATGCATAACAGGTTTTTTAAATGAGTTTGAATCTTTATGAATGAGTGCCAAATTCTATGAATGAATGATATATTCAATTTGTGAATTACAGGTTTTCTGAATAAACTACAGGTTTTTTGTCTGAATGAAAGGATTTATGAACAAGAAACAAGTCGTGTGTTTATGAATGCGAAAAGATAGGGTTATACGAGTAAGAAGATATGTCTTTTAAAGGTAGTAGATGTCAATGAAAATGAACGAGAACAGTCTTATGAATAACGGAACTTATGAATGAACGTGGTGCTTTACGATGAGCTGGTTTTATAAATAAAGGGAAGTTTTCTTTAATTGTAATGGTTTTATGAATTAAATTTATTTACTTTCTATATTAAGTCTATAATCCTTTCTTTGAACAGAAATGGGGAAAACCCCGTAAAGCAAACACACGCACACACACACACACACACACACAACACACACACACACACACACACACACACAAACACACAACACACACAAACACAAACACAACACAAACAAACACACACACACACACGCACACACCACACACACTCACACACACACACACACACACACACACACACACACACACACACACACACACACACACACACACACACACCACACACACACACACACACACACACACACACACACACACACACACACACACAAAAAAAAAAACACAAAAGTCCTCCCCACCTGTCACACTTGTCCCCGTGTACCGACGCGACAATGGCAGATGTACTCGGCAAAGCGATCAGCCTGACACGTTTCGGCGAAGTTCTGCTCCCTCGACGGGCAGGCGCAGGGCTTGCAGGGGCCTTGCGAGGGGTCGCCGTAGTACCCCGTGGCGCAGACCTCGCAGTGGGGGCCCATGTGTTGTCTCGGCAGTTCTAAAGGGGGGGGGGGGAATTTGCGTGGTAAATGAGGGTGGGTGAGTGTTGGGTTGTGTGATGGGAGAGTGGGGGGGAGGAGGGAACGAGGAGAAATTAAGAACCGAAGCATAATAATAATAATAATAATAATAATAATAATAATAATAATAATAATAATAATAATAATAATAATAATAATAATAATACAATTATAATGACGGGGACGATGATGAGGACGAGAGTAATAAATAGTTGGTTTAATAATAACTGTAATAATAATAATAATAATAATAACAATGATAATAATCATAAACATAATAATAATGATAAGATGATAACGATGATAATAATAACAACAATAATAAAAAATATAACAATTAATAATAATAATAATAATAATAATAATATAATAATAATATAATAATAATAAATAATAACAATATATAATAATAAAATATAATAATAACAATAATAACAATGGTAATGACAATAATCACAAAAAAATACGAGCAATGATGATAATGACTTTTACTATGTAATATCATCATCATCCCATCATCATCATCATCATCATCATCATCGTAACAACATCAGCCACGCCCACCTTGCACACGCCCGTCTCCGAATCGCACGCCTCGGACCGCCCGTTGCAGCGACACGGCCGCGACTCGCCCACGAGGTCGATGATGATGGTCGACTGGATGTGGTTCTGCTTGTACCAGCGGTAGAAGCCTGGCAGAGGAAGGGGGGGGTTGTTAGGTCCAAATATTGGGCACTTGGGGGATTTTTTTTTCTTCTTTCTTTCTCTCTCTCTCTCTCTCTCTCTCTCTCTCTCTCTCTCTCTCTCTTCTCTCTCTCTCTCTCTCTCTCTCTCTCTCTCTCTCTCTCTTCTTTCTTTCTTTCGCTCTTCTTTCTTTCTTTCTCTCTCTCCTCTCTCTCTCTTCTCTCTCTCTTTCTCTTTCTTCTCTTCTCTTTCTTTCTTTCTTTCTTTCTTTCTTTCTTTCTTTCTTTCTTTCTTTCTTTCTTTCTTTCTTTCTTTCTTTCTTTCTCTCTCTGTCTCTCTCTCTCTCTCTCTCTCTCTCTCTCTCTCTCTCTTTCTTCTTCTCTTCTTTTTCTTCTTCTCTTTCTTTCTTTCTTTCTTTCTTTCTTTCTTTCTTTCTTTCTTTCTTTCATTCTTTCATTCTTTCATTCTTTCATTCTTTCATTCTTTCATTCTTTCATTCTTTCATTCTTTCATTCTTTCTTTCTTTCTTTCTTTCTGTCTGCTTATATGTAAGCCTACCTAGATAGCTATCTATATGTCTGTCGATCAGCCTATTTAAATGTCTATCTGTCTATATATCTATGCATTTGTGTATTTACCTGTATGTCTGTCTCTCTGTCTATTTGTCTCTGTCTGTCTCTCTGTCTATTTGTTTCTGTCTGTCTATCTGTCTGTGTCTAATTAAATAAATTCTACAATACAATAGGAAATTATTCATTCCTGCCTATGCCTTCTATTTCAACAATTAAGACAAACTTAGAACTACTAGGATCTGGCATTTTCCCTTTACAATATCCGCGTTACTTCAAAACTATGAGACAAGGTAGAAATAATGAACAGAAAAAAATAACTACAAAGAAAAAGAAAACACAAATAAAATAAACAAACCGCTAAAAATACGAAACGAATCCAAATAAAAGCTAAAATAAAGCAAAACAAATCAAACCACAAATAAAAGCTAAAATCACTCAAAGCAAATCAAAACAAATCGAACCACAAATAAAAGCTAAACTCAATCAAAGCAAATCAAAACAAATCAAACCACAAATAAAAGCTAAAATCAATCAAAACAAATCAAACCACAACTAAAAGCTAAACTCAATCGAAGCAAATCAAAACAAATCGAACCACAAATAAAAGCTAAAATCACTCAAAGCAAATCGAACCAAATCGAACCAAATCGAACCAAAAGGCGAGGCAGCGTTCCCTTACCAATGTTGGGGTTCTGGCAGGAGGTGCCCGAGTAGCTCTTGGGGCAGAAGCACTGCTCGACGCCCAGGGCCACGCGCGAGGACACCGGCGACCCCTCGGCAGCGATGTCCATGGTGACGTCGTGGAGGCTGAGGGCAGAGGGGACAAGGTGCGTCGGTTAGAGCTATGTTGCGGGGTTCGAGGGCACGATTTTCGCCCTTAGAGGGTCTAATCTAGGCTTTCGGAGGATTAATGAATTTAAAATATATATATTTTTTACAGAATGAGGCTAATTGGAAAGACTTTGGATTTAGGTAGATTTTAAAAGAAAAGAAAAGAAAAAAAGTAAGTAAACAAAAAAATAAAAATAAGAACTTTATAGTGAGATACAAGGGTAAGCAAAATACAAGAACAAAACCCAGTAAATATATATAAATACAAAAAGGTTAATCTATACAAGAAAGTCTTTAAAGAAGATTACACAAACAAAACAAAACAATAAAACAACAAAACAATGAACAAAAGCTTTATAGTGGGACAGGAAGGCGAGGCTTTCGACCATTCAACAATTCGACAAAAGCGACAAAACCAAACACAATCACAACACGCAAAAAACACAACACACGCAAAACAACTCACAACACACGCAAAAAACAACTCACAACACACACGCAAAAAAACACACAACACACGCAAAAAACAACTCACAACACACGCAAAAAAACAAACTCACAACACACGCAAAAAACAACTCACAACACACGCAAAAAAACAAAACAACACACGCCAAACAACTCACAACACACGCAAAAAACAACTCACAACACACGCAAAAAAACAACTCACAACACACGCAAAAAAACTCACAACACACGCAAAAAACAACTCACAACGCAAAAAACAACTCACAACACACAAAAAAACAACTCACAACACACGCAAAAAACAAAAACAAACGCAACACACACAACACACGCAAAAAACAACTCACAACACACGCCAAAAAACTACTCACAACAACACGCAAAAAAACAACTCACAACACACGCAAAAAACAACTCACAACACACGCAAAAAAACAACTCACAACACACGCAAAAAAACAACTCACAACACACGCAAAAAACAACTCACAACACACGCAAAAAACAACTCACAACACACGCAAAAAACAACTCACAACCACACGCCAAAAAACAAACTCACAAGCAAAAAACACTCACAACAAAAAAACAACTCAAAACACACGCCAAAAAACAAACAACACACGCCAAAAAACAACTCACAAACACACCCAAAAAAACAACTCACACACACGCAAAAAACAAACGCACAACACGCCACGCAAAAACAACTCACAACACACGCAAAAAACAACTCACAACACACGCAAAACAAAAACTCAAAACACACGCAAAAAACAATCACAAACACAAAAAAACAACTCACAACACACGCAAAAAAAACACTCACACACACACGCAAAAAAACAACTCACAACACACGCAAAAAACAACTCACAACACACGCCAAAAACAACTCACAACACACGCCAAAAAAGCAACTCACAACACACGCAAAAAAAAAAACTCACAACACACGCCAAAAAACAACTCACAACACCGCCAAAAAACACCTCACAACACACGCAAAAAAAAAACAACTCACAACACACGCAAAAAAACAACTCACACACGCAACAACCAAAAAAACAACTCACAACCAAAAAAACAACAACTCACAACACACGCCAAAAAACACCTCACAACACACGCAAAAAAAAAAACAACTCACAACACACGCAAAAAACAACTCACAACACACGCAAAAAACAACTCACAACACACACGCAAAAAACAACTCACAACACACGCAAAAAAACACTCACAACACACGCAAAAAAACGCAAAAAATCACAACACACGCAAAAAAAAACTCACAACACACGCAAAAAACAACTCACAACACACGCAAAAAACAACTCACAACACACGCAAAAAACGAAAAAAACAACTCACAACACACGCAAAAAAAACAACTCACAACACACGCAAAAAAAACTCACAACACACGCAAAAAACAACTCACAACACACGCAAAAAACAACTCACAACACACGCAAAAAACAACTCACAACACACGCAAAAAAAACAACTCACAACACACGCAAAAAACAACTCACAACACACGCAAAAAACAACTCACAACACACGCAAAAAACAAACAACTCACAACACACACACAAAAACAACTCACAACACAACAACACGCAAAACAACAACTCACGAGGCGGTTGTGGCGTCGGCCGCGTGTGTCGCTCGAATCAAAATGTGCTGGATGTTCTGCAGGGCGATCATCATCATCTCCCGCGTGACCTTCTTGGGCTTGCTTCTTCAGCCGCAGTAGTCCTCGTGGAGTCTGGGAAGGAAGAGGATAATTGATAAAAGATGTAGTTGAAAAGAATAAAAAAAATAATTAAAAAAAAAAAATAAAATAAATAAATAAATATATATATATATATATATATATATATATATATATATATATATATTATATATATATATATATATATATATATATATATATATATATAGTATATATATATATATATATGAAATAAGAGATGTAATTGAATATTTATATATATATATATATATATATATATATATATATATATATATATATATATATATATATATATATATATATATATATATATAAATAATATATGTAATTAAAAAAAAAAATGTGTGTAACTGAAAAAATGTAATTGAAAAAGAAATAAAAACAATAAATAAATAACAAAACAAAAAGTGATAGAGTGTGATATAAATTTTGATAATATATATATATGTTATACATATTGCTTCATTCAATGTATGATGGATATGGTCTGAGATGAACTTTGCTGTTAAGTTATAAATAACAAAGACAAAATGATAAGAAGACCAAGAAAGGTAGTGGTATAAAAGATAATGATAATAATAACAATAACAATTATCATCATTATTATTATCATTATTACTATCAATATAACTATATTAACGGTAATAATGAAAATAATAATAATCATTATTATCATTAATATCATTATAACTTTTACTATTATCATAATTTTTGTTAATATCATTATCATTATTATCATCATTATAACAACAACAATAATAATAATAATAAACAAGAACAATAATAACAATAGTAACAAAAACAATAATAATAATAATAACAATGGCAATAATTAGGAATAACAATAACATAAAAAGACGAGCCAGAACCCCACTGCTCCTCCCACAACAACATCAAACAAACCCAAAAAAGCCCCTTGAACGCACTTGACTTCGTATCGTCCGTCCGAGGCAATGGCGGGCGGGTAGTACTCGAGAACCAGCTGCCAGTTCCCTTGCAGAGACACCAAGGGATACGTCTGCAGGATCTGTTCGGGGAAGTTCCGGCTGCCTCCTTCGCTGTGGACTCGGAAGCGCAGGTAGCCGTTGTAGGAGCGGACCTGAGGGAGGAGGAGGAGGATGGAGGCTTTCAATAAAACGAGAAAAATATATACATTGACGGTGAGAAGGGAGAATAAGAAGGCGTGACGTTTCGGACGCGATTTGACTCATCATCAGATCAGAAACTAAAACGGTTATTTTTATTTATTTATTTTTTTTTTTTTGTAGTTCTGATAGTTTATGGTGCATATAAGGTTGCTTCTGCTTTCTTTTCTTTTTGTTACATTATTTGGTTCGAAAAGGCAGGGCTTTTAAATTAATACAAGAATATCAATGGACATTTAAAAATCTCTTCTTGCACATACGTCGTCTAATGTTCGTCTTTTGCTTCCTTATTATTGTGAATGTGGATATTTTATTTTTTTTTATTATTTTTACTTATTATTTACTTCTTTTCTTTTCTTTTTTTTGCATTGTGCACATTTTCAAGGTACACAATTACGTCCCATGCTTATTCTATTCAATGAATAACCAAATGACAGTAATAAAATATAACCACATCTGATCTTCATAACAATAACCAACAACTCCCCCCAAAACACTCCACTCTCCACAACCCCTCACAACCTCCCTAACCCCCCCCCCCCCCACTCTTCCCCGCCCCTCACCTTATCCCTCATGAACTCCCGCGGAAGCTGCCAGTACAGGGGGGCGTCGAACAGCTGGTTGGAGCCGATCTTCACGTTCCCTTCGGTGCCCGGGATGACGTGCAGCTGGTTGGTCACGTTCAGCTTGGTCTCTCCCTCGCCGAAGCTCAGGAGCCGTTCGCCAGGGAGAGCGAGCTGGAAGAGGCAAGAGGGTTGGGTGTCAAGAGGGACAGAGGAACAACGTCTTCACTCGTAAACGGATGCGTGGGAATGAGAGGAAGGTTTGTCTGGACATCCTGTCTTTATATTCACTGAGACGCGTTTATATACCAGATGTGTGATAATCGTAACTGATAGTTAGTAAATATCTATATATTCGATTGTCTGCATGTAACAAAATAAGGAAAAAGGAAAAGAAGAGAATGTAGTACATGTGTTTTGTTAATGACATATCAAGTAACTAGCACGACATGTAAACACGATACAAGTAATATCTACAAAGACTGAGGAACAGTGTTTTGTACCAAACTCTGTACTGAGACTAACGCCAACCATTTGCTCTTGAAAAGGATATTTCCATAAAATAAATATATTTAAATAAGCTCTGAATCCTCTAATTTGCTGATAGGCTACAGCTGTGCAAGCTGAACGACTAAAAAGTAATTCGAAGAGTATGTAAATAAAAAAATTAAGTGCTTTCTAATCAAGCAGTAACTTAAAACAGGTAACAAATACTCTGGAAAATACTCTTCCCACAGAGAAAGGTTCAAACTGAAAAGGAACGTCTTTTCAAAGGCAATCAGATCGAATGGCACAGACTTGGCGCTCGTATCTTTGACAGTGAGAAGATATATCGACAAAAGGAGACACTGAAAGATGGTTCTAAATAGTGTGAAAGAAATTTAACAAGCTTCATGAGAAACGCAAGACGAATGCAAATGCACATCATAAAATATATGTTATACACAGCGGAACAGGAGACATTCAGAGAGAGCAGTAGAGCTGAAAATTAAGATGGACACGTGACAGATCTTTGGCAAACCTGCTGGACAAGACATTCAATAAAAAGGAGTAGACAGAGAGAATCAAATGTATTATAAACATTCACATAAAATATCAAGAAGAATCCTGAGAAACAAGTTGAGAAAAATACATAACAATTAGCTGTAAGAAAATCACATCGGTGCATGAATCAAAACAAATAGAGAGGAAATAAATAAAACATATGATTAAGAAGGCCATGAATAGCATTTGGGGGATGGACATCCAGTAGTAATTACATTGATGTAACATATCTCCTGCGTGTTCCAGGGACGGTAAACCACAACGGGGGGGCGGAAAGGGCGCTCTCCATGCCCTGGTCTTCGGTACTCGATGTTCAAAACCCGGTGTTCCGTCGTTCTCAGCTGCAAAGGTGGTTGTGCAAGTGGCAGAGGATGCAATGGGATGGTGGGTGACACGGTATGCATGGCAATGCAACTTGCAATGATGGGAGTGGGTGATGGCTGGTGCTCATTGCATATGCAATGGTGCTAAAGTCTGAACAACACAAATTTCCTCATGGAATGCATGCTTGCCTCATATGTTGTTAAAAAAAAAAAGTTTTTACTGCATCCCCTTCCCTCTAAATGATGATTAACAAAAAATATATAAACACTACAGTGAGCCATATTCTAATACCTATCCAAATGATTTTAACTCTGGAATCAATGAAAATATCCTCTATCTCATATCCAAATGTTTATCCAGGCACCTAAAAAGATAATGTTCCTGATGCCTGGAAATATGTGTCCCCGTGATACTGTTGGTGCTAGTTCTAACAAATGAGGTATGACATTGGAAAACTACAATTTAGTGATGAATGCAAGGGGGATCTTATAGAATACCAGGCAATGCACTACATGCATATAACAGATATAAGCTGATTGCCCTAAATTATATATGTAAAATGTTAAGGCTGAATATGTTAATGTTACTGTATAAACCCCCTATAATCCCACTGCTGCCACCAATTTCTAGGTCACCCAATATTACTGATGGATGGTGACAGTATGAATGTTCATCTGTGTACCCTAAATGTGTTCTAATACACGTGATAAAGCTTATATATACATATATATATATATATATATATATATATATATATATATATATATATATATGTGTGTGTGTGTGTGTGTGTGTGTGTGTTTATTCTAGATCCCGTGTACAATGGTATATATTCATTAGAGTTAATTTGAAGTACAAATATAATATATATGCAGATAGTTTTGCAAGTGATGAGTTTGTTTGCAAATATTGGTGTCTTTGTTTGCATTTCTTGGTGTGAGTGTGTGTGTGTGTGTGATGGAATGTGTGCAAAATCACATGCATGTGCTTATTGGTCTTTGAGTGCACTGTGAGCTTGTGTTTACATGAGTGCATGTTGGTTTTTGACTTTATATGCTAATTTACATACACATTAATGTATAAAGCTGGTGTATCATCCAAATATTATGCTCTTCTGCCCACCTGAGTTTTCTCACTAATATCCTCTTTCCTCAATAACATCCTATTTCTCAATAATATAGTTCTTGATCTCAATAATACACAAATCCATTTCATTCCCCACTTTCTTTCTGCGTATTTAGTTCGAAGATGAATACCGCATATAAATCTGATATAATAAATCACACTTGTCAGCATAATAACATCAGCCATTTTCTCAACACTACCGTTGCCTAAAATCAGCCTGATAAAAAAAAAGTCTTCAATAAAACCACACAGCCACCACACCTCCAAAAGCCCTCTCCCTACAATAAGCCCAGAAACGGTCCCTACCTGAGACCAGGTGAGGTCAGCTTGAGTACATTGGTCCGTTCTCCTGAAGCAGTAGCAGCTGGTGCAACCCGTGGGATTGTCAACCGAAAGCCCAAACGTCCCTCCCACACACTTACCACAACGG